CTGGTTACTACATCGTCTTGCATTTCAAATAAGTAACTATTGCTATTGAAGAAGGTTAAGAAAATCTATTACTTCATTGATTTCCGTGGGAGTTATCAAAAGTAACAATAAGAAATGCCTGGAAGATCTCATGAACTCCGGATAGATGACGGTATAACCGTTCCATAACGTCAGACGTAAAAGACTTACCCTGATCGCGACAGGAAGATGAGAAAAGTGTCTGACGAACACGTCTGGCACTGTGTCTGCCAATGCGCCTACTAAGCGTGGCGATTAAGGCGATTCCTCCCCACAGAAATATAGGCCCATGTACAACAACGGACTTTTTATGAGCTGATATTGACGACTTCATTGATGAAATTTTAACTTCCCGCTAAGAGAATTGAAAATTTTCAAAAATCGGAAAGTTATTGTTTTTACCCCGTTTGTGGGAATTTGAGTTTCAACAAATCTTGACGCTTTGAGCTCACAGGAAACCACCCTGACATCTTACATTTCCTACGAACTTCAACTAATTCGTACCGGTAGATTTTGAGAAACCCGAAAAATAAAAGTTTTCGAAACTTTTATTTTTCAATAAAAGTTTCAATAAAAGTTTCGAAAAACTGGTTTTTTTTGGAATAACTTTTAAACGAAATCACTTTTAAACGAAATCAGCCTTAAAAAAACCACGTCAATCGCCGCTGTGTAAACGAAAAATTTTGAAAAAATTGATTTTTTTAAATAACTCCGATATTTTATATTCAACGTCATAATTTGGTGAAATTTGGAGCGCTTTGCATTTGAAATTAGTTAGTAGGAAGTTACAGGGATAGCCTGCATAGTCAACCAATTTTTTTTGAAATAAGCCAGGGCCTTCCAGCAAGAAAAATGTTTTTATTCTTAAAGGCGCTTCCTTGCTATAATGAGTATTAAAATGAGTATTAGACTTCTCTAAATGTTTCATTGACAAAAAGCGCTTTAAAAATACTTCCTTGTTCCATTCATATACTAAATCCGCAAATCAAGTTCAATAAACTCAGTAAAGGACGTCTAGAATAATAAATTTTAATAATATCAGTGTTAAAACTGAATTACGTAAGTTCATAGGTAAGCATAACGTAATAGAATCCATGATATCATTAAGATCAAAGAAAGATTTTTATTCTGTGTTAGAGACACTGGAACTGGAACAATTCAAATGCAAATATTTTAAGTGAGCGAGTTTCAAAGTCGTTCATCAGGCTTTGCTTAGAGTTTCTCCACGTAATTGACTCCAAAACTAGAGTTTACGCATTATAATAGCATTAACAAAGATTTTTAAAAGGAATACCAGATTAATAATAAAAACTACCGATTTTTTTAAACCGCGCGATATAATTTTTAGTCATCTTCTTCGACTAAAATATATGCGTACAAACCGCGCTCGGTATAAAATTACATTGTAGAACATCTAAATTATGTTGAAATTTTGTGAGACGTTGCTTAATATCTTAAATTTTATTATATTAATATTTTTAAATTATATCTGTTTTTTTATTAAGAAAGCTATAAAAAATTTATATCATATTTTAAGATTTATTTATCAACTGAACTGGCAGTGGACTGACAATAACTTTAATAAGACGAGTTTTTAACAATTCGATGGTTGAGCATTTGGCCTATAACTGTGGGGACGCTGGTTTGAATCCGCTCTACACTTCGATACAGTTATCGATTTTTCGAGCTATGTGGCCTGCCTATTACTGATTCGTTGGGCTATGACCGTAACTCTGGTTCTATTACAAATATCCTCATTATATTCTAAATATAATCGAAACTAGATCTCGATTGCTCGCTGAGCCTCCTTGAGCCTCCTCATACGACCAGCAGTTCAAGACTACGTCTCAGATTCACATGTCCTTGACTGGAAACACGTAAAGTTAACGGTTGAATATTAATTTTAGGCGAAGTGAAGTATGCTAAGCAAATTTATCCTGGACAGACCATATTTTTTCTAGAAATGATCCCTGTAGTTCCAGGGAAAAAAGACAAAAGACTATGCTGTCAGTTTTTCCTTTCACATCAACGGAAAATGATGACTATTATAAGTATGTATGTCTAGTGGTCGTTAACGCGACTGCTGATTATGAGGTTCCGAGTTCAAAGCCCAGGTCGAACCAAAAATAAATCAAGTTTTTCGTCCCCGTGGTTCGGAAAGCACGTAAACCGTTGGTCCTGCACCTGATCTCTCTCCGGTCGTGTCGCATCGGAGTATGATTGTGAAAGAATAGAAACAGACGGCTAGTCTTCGCTAAGAATGACCGCCGTGACCAAAATTTGGACTGGAGGACATTATTAGAATGATGCATTTTTCAAAGGTACTAAAATAATCTATATCGATGTTAAAATGTTTCCCATAGCTCTCTCGTCAGAAAATTCCTAGAATATGCTATTAGAATCAAAAGCCGCTCCAAATACAGACGATGAATAACAATACGTGGGTGGGCGTCGTTTCATCATATTATGCGCAAGCGTAGCAGGCGCGAGTGCTTAACGACAATTTGGTTTCGCATATTAGATCTAAAATATTAAACGTAACTTTTATTAATCATGTTTGTTTGAAAGATTGTGGGCCTGCAACAACTTTAACTAATGCGTCATATTTTTACATAGCATCCACATTAATCGTATTTGTGTTTGGGAATAAAGATTAAAAAGTTAAAGTTACAGCCTATATACGTCCCGCACCTGGGGCACAGGCTTCCGCTCATTTCTGAGAGGGTTTTAGGACAAGGAATTGTCCTTCGCGCTGCCCCAATGCGTGTTAGCGAACTACATATGTCTTCGAAATATTTTTTTCTTATTTCTCAGAGATATAGGTTTCCTCACGATGTTTTCCTTCACCGCCGAGCACGTGGTAAATCAGCACTTAAAATTGCAATTCACAATTTCATTGGTGCCGGCGGGCATCGACCCCGATTTGCTTGCGTACTGTGAAATTTACAGCGAGCGGTAACCATGTGGTAGCTCAGTTGGTGTTTAGGAATATTCATTCAAAACATGGAAAAAAGATATGCTACAGTACGGTTTGATAGCCTTTCACGTGTTCCCGAAAACCTCTTCCCATTCTTAGGTTTACATGTTTATATTATATAACAATTTATTTACATGAACTTATGACGTTCTACGACTGCCCGTTGTTCTAGAGATCGTCAACACGATTGCTAACCATGAGGTCCTGGATTTGAATCCCGGGTCAGGTCAAAAACAGTTATTGGGTTTTTCTATTAAGAAGTTATTCAGTAGCAGCCCAGCGGTCGGGAAGTTGGCGGTGTGTTCATTCCTGTGCTTCGGAAAGCACGTAAAGCTGTAGGTCGTGCGCCTGATCTCTCTCCCTACGTATAGGATTATCGTCCCATTGGACTAAGTGAAGAGTGAGTGAGAGGGCTATAAGAGGCTCTATAATCTTGTCCTACACAGAAGTTTAATCTTCGTTGAGGCTGGCCTCCGTGACCGAAATTCGGTCTGGAGGACATTGTTGTACTTATAAGGTAGAGCTACGCTGCAGCCAATATAGCTGACGAATAGGACGGCTTAACCGGGATAGGACTAAACTCTCACAGAATACCAGAGAGAAGCAGAATAATGTTGCTGTGTTTCGTATGGTAAGTATAGAGAACCAGAGACTCTTTTTACTGCTTACAATTCATTTTATCTTAGTCAATAAAGATGACAACGCATCAGCGTTTTGATTCTTAACCTTCGATAGATTTAGATGTCTATGGGATTATTCTATAATAATATTAATATTCTTGTCGCCTTTATTATATAAATTGTTTTTTATGAAAATTTAAATTAGCATTTTCAGTGGTTCTGACCCCGGGTTTCACCTTTAGTAGCTTGCATACTTTGAAATTTAGGGCAAGCGCCAGCGCCAAATTATACTAACGTTTTAAAACAAGTTTTAAATTAACAAAACGTGATTCAAACAACACTCCACATTGACCCAACTCGTTTCAAGTGCGCGACGTAAAGCCTTGCGTAATTGGTGAAATACGGCGGCTAGACGAAATAACACGGTATGAGTGTCCAATGGGTGCTCTTCATAGTATGAGATGACACAGAATTAGACCTTCGATAGTATTTGAAAGTTTTGCCATGGTTAAAATATTTAATTTCTCAAACATGCAGGTTTCTTCACAATGTTTTCCTTCACCGCCGAGCACGTGGTAAATTAGAAGTTAACAATGTCGGTATTGCGGGCAGATATAAAACTAATTAATTTCGAGTTCTGGAATTGATAACAAAACGGCATAATTAAAGCACGTTTACAAAGTTTTCTTCAACTCCCTCTTTGATTTTTCTTTTTAGATATAGCTGGCAATATTTTGCATTGGTTATATCGGATGCACGAATTACGGTCGTAAATATGATCGAAAATATATTTCTTCACAAATATGCCGCAAAAGGCCAAGGATCCTCAGCACAAAGATGACAAAACTCTTACATGTTATTTTTTTAATTGACTAACACTTGATGGTAAGTAGCTACTACAGTCTATAGACATCTTCAGCCAACTTCAAACAAAGAAGGCACTCTTTGCTCTTCAGAGCAGAACATAGCAGTGTTCGCATTGCTGCTTGGGGGTAAAATAAGGAACCCTAGAGAATATGCTTTAATCCAATTGTTTTGTTATTAATTTATGTACCCATTTTTTACTACAGAACGCGTAGTAAATCAGCACTTGAAATTGCGATTAACAGGGTCATTGTTACCGGCAGATATCGTACTAGATTTGCATCGTGTTATGATTTTTAAGGTGATCACACATACCCTCAGATGAAGTAAAAAACTTTTTTTACTTCATCTTCACCTTAATACCTAAATCTATATATCACTGCTCTTTGAAGTTATTTATTATTTACTGCAACAAATATTAAATAAAACAACTAATATCATCACTTCTTTACCAAAGTCACTTTTTTCGCAAAATTATTAAAATACTTAATTAAAAATAATAATACTTCATATGTACTTACGAGTAGTATCCCCAAGTGCAGTTTTGGCTGTTTCATAATCTTTCTCATTTTGTAGGGGAAGCGGGGAAATAATGTCAAGATCCGTCCTGGAACAAAGTGATACGATTATTATGATGAGTGCGTGTAAATAACTGGGATACTTTTTTACTAGGAACAAAGCATTCCATCTTAGTTCTCAGGGTGTCCGATGAAGCTTTAAAATCCATCTGCCTAACAACACTAAAATCACAGAAAATAGAAAGAAGGTTCTAAGGTCATGGGTGACAACACATCTTCAATCAAATTGAGGATAGATGCAGCTGTCTATGGATCACGGTATCTACTTGCCACCAGGTGGAATATATGCTCATTGGTCAACTCTCCGTGTAGTAGCTCTTTTGAAATATTCACTATCCCATATTATTGAATTTCGAAAGAGTTTCCCTAATAACAACTAGAAAAATAACTACGGTTTTCAAGCCGCCTGCCAAAGATATTATTAGGGATTTTTGGGAGACCTATGTTCAGCAGTGGACTTTAATATGCTTTAAATAATAAATGAAAGAACTTTTTTTTTAAATACAGTTCATGCAACGCATAGTCTAAGAGTCTAACTAAGCCCCACCCATCGCTATTAGTACATATATTAGTGCAATTCATGTATATAAAACACGTTTACTATACAGAAGAAATTCCTAGAGTGATGGTAACTTTTTCTTTTTATTATAAAAATAATTGTTTTTAAAATATAAACTTAGAACGCAGGGTTCAATAAAGCTAGCTTCAAAGCTTATATACTAAGGTAATGCGATTCTTCAGGTCTTGCAAATTTATCGCCAGTGGAAGACAGGACGTAATTATTTACCGGTAAGGAAAATATGGATACACTTTATTAAGGATGATATGCATAAGAAAAGAGTGAGTGAAGAGATGACGGCTACTAGAGGAGAATGGGAGAGAAACATGCTATGCTGAAATGACTTGGGGTAAGGGTTGAAAGAAGAATAAGAAGAGGCGAATTGCATATTCAAAGACTTCCTCTTGGATTAAAAAAAACTACGGTGCAAGCTTGATTCACAATTAAAGATAGAAGTATGATAAAGTGCGCAAACAAATGCGTAAATAACCAAACGAAAAATCATACGGAAAAAATGAAATAAAAAATGGTTATGATGTACCGCTTACTAAAAATTAACCAAAGATAACTACATCAATTTTTGTTTATTCGGCTATTGATAGAGATCGTGAGCAACCTTGATACCAGGGATTTCTCTGTCATTGTTCTTGCGCGGCACAACGATGTAGGTATTATTATTTAGGATACCTAGAACGTCTTACGTCTGGTATACTCGTAGTTTGAGTTTCGTTGAACAAAATTAATTATACTGATTTTGTCGCTATTGTGTTAAGTTCTCGACATGATTTCAGTGGCTTACAAGATCTGTATTCATATGTATACGGGTGATTGACATATAGAATACACAGTTAATTTCTGGGTGGTTTCTGGATCTCGAAAACAGCGCTAACTACCGGGTCCAATCGTGAATCTAAACTATCCAGGGACACACTCAAACACACAAAAAATTTATCAAAATCGGTCCAGCCATTCTCAAATGATGATTTTTTTTATTTTTTTTTATTTATTCATAAGGTATACCAACAGCAAATGATCTTTCATACATGGGGCAATTGATTTTTATTTAGATAGATGTTAATCTTGGTCTGGTCTTTTTGTATCTCAGATTCTATAAGATCTTACAGTAGATGCACAAATGGTGGTCTGAACAATCAGTTGTCAATAATACAATATATAGCTTTTCTAGTTGTGTTATTGGAATCAAATTCAGGACTCACGGCAATAACAGATCACTCCCTCATAAAACGAGTCAGAAACACTGATTGAGCATAACATTACGTTGACTATTATTATTTGCGTTTCAACAGTATAAGAAATTCATTTTAGAGTGTTATCATAACCTATACCATAAAGTGTGATGGTGGTGCTGCCTTTTTGTCCCGGCTTAAAAAATCCATCATCCCATGTCGTTGCATGGGTGTCATAAGAGGCGAATTTTTTTTTATAGGATAAGGTGACAAACGAGCACACAGTCCACCTAATGGTAAGTTGTTGCTGTGACCCATAGTCATCTACATCTATCCTCAATTACGAATTACAATGCAGATGCGTTGTCACCCGTGAGGACTAAGATAGAATGCCTCGTTTCCAGTAAAAAGGGTCTCCGGTTCTCTACACTCACTATATGAAATACAGCACCATTAAGCTACTATTTCACGCTGGTATTCTGTGAGATCGTGGTCCCTCCCCGGTAGAGCCGACCCATTCGTGCTACAAGTATACTTCTAATATAACTGCAGCATGGCTCTACCACGTATAACAAGAAAATATATAAAAAGAGAGATTGGAAAATAGTGAATCATAGAGTGTGAAAATTTGTGTTGATGTATGGCAAACATCATAAAGGCTTACATTAACGGGTATAAGTCGAAACCATTAAATAAAAATAACGCAAATACCTAGCGGCGTAGGAAAATTCATTACCCAATTTCGTCCCTTGGGTTTCGTGAGAAAAATCTTATGGCTTCCGACAGATTTTCAGTCACGCAATTCACCTGATAGCAAATGGATGCTGTGGCCCATAGACATATATATTCATCGTCTATTAAAATTCAAAAAGAAGATGCGTTTTTACTTCTGAGGACTAAGATGAAATGCCTCGTTTCCGGTAAAAAGGGTCACTGCTCAAGGGATCTCTACACTCACCGTACGAAACGCAGTAGCATTAAGCTGCTATTTTACACTGGAATTCTGTGAAAGCGCGGTCCTACCCCGGTCAAGTTGACCCATTCGTGATACAACTATAATATAGCTGCAGCGTGGCTCTTCCATGTATACAAGATTAAAAGATGGCGGTATCTTGTTCAACTTACCGATGAGCAGCAGCGTCAGGAATGCGATCGTCAAACCAAACCAAGCGTGACGATAGAAGCAAGTCCTACCTACAACAGCAGGGATCCATGTCCAGCGATGAACTGTTGCGAGCTGATGATGGTTAAGAAGAAAAACCTACAACCAACAAACAAAACCTACACTGTATACTAAGTCGTTTGAAGCATTTCACAACTACTTACTGAAATCGTCCCATGAAAATACAAAGGTATAAAGCTTTTAAGACTTGTAAATTATCACAGCTGTTAATGCCCATGTAGAGGTTTAGTTATAAATCATTCGAAGCATGTCGGTATGCTGCATTACGATTTCTTTAGGGTTTATCTTTTGCGTGATAACAGATCTCGATTATTGAAATTAACACGGTCGGACTTGCGCTACGTAGATACGAGTATATGCATATATAGTGATGAAAGTACCCGGATGACCGAGCTTGGCTCGTTTTTTTTTTGGAAATTACATTTATATATAAATAATATAATGATGAATAATATTTTTTGATCTTATTGACATAATAGAAAAAATTGAACTGGTTATTTGAATAAAAAATCATGTGTGCAATTAGTTTAATTGAAATTTTCGTATTTTTATAAAATACTAAAAAAGGGCTCGAAATAATAGATTTTCTCACAAAAAAGGGAACTTAAAAAAAAGGAAAAAAATTCGGACCGAAGACAGGACGCGAACCAAGGCGTTACGATTTCGCGACCGCTCGATATCCACTTGAGCTATTGCGATCATTACCACAGTGTCAAAATTTACCTTCTTATATTATAGCAGTTTTTCATTGCCTGAAAACACGGACAAAAAGACATTGTCTAAAAATAAATCCTAGCTAGATCGATTTATTGCCCCCGAAATTCCCCGGACACTAAATTTTATGAAAATCGTTGGAGCCGTTTCCGAGATTCCGATTATATATATATATATATATATATATATATATATATATATATATATATATATATATATATATAAATTGTATATATAAGAATTGCTCGTTTAAATGTATAGGATTTATAATTAAATTCATATTTCCGTAATGTTTCTCTGACGGGACATGCATGTAATGTATAAAAAAGGTTAAAAAAAAAAAAACTCAAAAAAAAACAATATTTTAATGAAATTCTTTGTTAGCATTTCAGTCAGTCCCTGGATGATTTAAATTCACAAAAATAATAAACAAATGGGCCCGGTAAGTGAGTCTGTTGTCGAGATTCAGAGGTCACCCGTGCAAAGACGAGACGGATCGCTAAAGTAAAGTTACAATCTATTTGTGTCTTAGGTACAAGTTTCCTTTATCCGCCATCTAATCTGAGCAGATAATGGAACAATTAGTTCCCTGCCCTACTCCGGTGCGTATTGGTGGACTTCACTTGTCCTTAAAATATTTTATTCTCCTATATTAATTATATTATAATGCTTATAAAGTTATAAAATATTATGTAATTGTGAATAATAATGTTCTCCAGACCGAGTTTCGGTCGCGGCGGCCACTCTCAACTTAGACTAGCCATCTACGCAGTACGGGATTATAGTGCCCGAGTATACGCGCAAACACTATCTATTTGCTCACTTTAATAGTCTAATAGGATGTTAATCTGACAGGATTGAAAAGAGATCAGACGCAGGACGGCTTTACGTGCTTTCGGAGGCACGAGGGTGAAGCACCGCCAACTTTCTGACTCCGGACTACTACTAAAAAAACCTAATAACTGATTTCGGCCTAACCTGGGATTCGAATCCGGAAGTTCATCAACAGCAACGGTGTTTTAGAGCAATAGACTAATAATTTAGACAAACAGAATATGTTGATGTCTAATAATATTGTATCATATTTATGTTGTATTAATATTTACGATAACAATTAATTGTACTTTAACTGGAAACTACACATTCTTAATGTTTGCTACAAACTTAGGTCAAAATTGCATACGTTTAGTTATCTACAGAGCTTAGAGTGTAACTAATAGAATAACATTGCTTATTAATGGAATAACAACAACAAAAATTTAAACAAAGACATAACGAGTGCTCACGAACAACACACCTTCGCACGCGACTTTTTGGTATTTTGCAAATTTTTTACTTTTCGTTATTGCTACACATAATGAAGCTAAATTTACCTACTATAAAGTT